GTGACTCTTATCCGTATTTAATATCCGGAGGGGTGGCCGCTCAAATGTATCTTGATTTTTGTATGTGACTCTTATCCGTATTTAATATCCGGAGGCAAGGGGGACCTTTAATCTCCAACTCCAGTGATAAAACGCATGAAATCCGTATTTAACGTATCTGGATTTTGGGTTTAACTACATTAATTGCACGTTAAATAATAAAACCTCCACCCTTCAATTTGGCCAGTTGGAAGTTTTTAGATGAAGTGAACCATACCACTTGAGCTTACAGATGCCGAATTAAAAACCGTCACGCGACACCTGAAAAGAAGGGATACCCGGATGAAGAGGACCCGTGGTTCGGTTAAATAACCGGATCGTGAGAACACTGTAAACACAACCAACACCCCCCCCCTCGAGTGAGCCCAATCAGCCGGATAACGCGAGAAGGCAATATTAACTGTAACTGTAAGTTAGGAATAATATCCGGTTAAAATTCTAATAAACCTCCATTGACAATGAGCTACAGATGCCTTCCTTGTGAACTTCGTGGAAATCTTTCTTAGTATTTGACTTCTTGAATTTTGTATCGACATACAAAATATATTATTGAAAACCACACGGTGTATGGTATGATGCCATATGTCCTCGGATATGTTTTCGGACAATAGAGCATTGTTATAGTATACTTTAATGAAGTTTAAATTAAGCCTAATATTTGTATACTATACGAACATCAAATATAATCTCGGGCCGAATAACTGCTTTGGGATTTTTTGGCGGGTCATTCTCGAGCTACCCTGAGCGAAAAAAGGCAGGGTAGTTATTGTTACCTATACGGTAAATAACGTACAACTATGTTACAGTGGTAACGTTAGAGTCTAAGTTCGCTGATGTGGCTGCTCTCATCTAATTGGATGAAACAAAAGTAGTTTTTTTTATTTGTCCAACAAACGTTCTAGTACCATCGCATGATGGCGAAGCATTGGCACACACGGAATAATCTCTAACTCGCACAGATCTTCGTACTTCTACTTGAAAGCATTTACGCGTGTTCATGAAGGAGTATTCTGTGAATCCCGAGAAGGGGGTGGCATCTGCTTGACGGTGGGAATAGTTCCATATCGATACCTCCATTTTCCTACCGTGAAAAGTAATTATAGCTCCCGTTGCCTTTCTGTTAAAAGAAACATTATACGGCTTGTCGAACAACCTGCGTGTCCTATTGGTGGTTTACATGCAGGAACAGCAGCATCTCCACATATACAGGATACAAACTATGGCGGTAGTCTGTAAGGATGATTTTGGCAGCGAAGAACTAGCGTTCAACAATGTTCGACGTCAACGAATGCCGATGATACCAGTCGGCGACGTTTTGAGCTCAGAATGGATTGGGCAAAGCTGCAGCCATCCTGGTCTGTAAATCACTCTGGGTGGATTGCAGCATGGCTACAGCATCGAATGGAGCGATTTCCACATGATTGGGCTTAGAAGTAGTACGCGGCGTATTGGTTGGGAGTAACGGGCGGCATTATTGTTAGGCAGATTGGGGATTATGACGGACCAATGAGGATGGTTGCGCTGACCGCAACAAGAACCATTCGTCCCTTTCTGGCATATCCAGTAGTTCGTTTTACTCTAATTCAATTATACCATTGCTTTGGGGTGAAACGAACTACTGGATATGTCCACAAAGGCCCAAATGGGCCGAGTGGCCTTTATCTTGCTATTTTGTGGATTGCCACTTAGCCGTTCGTTGGCCGAACTGGGCTTTAACTCAAGGCAATGAATCGCTGCTTTGAATTAACAAAGCCATTTCCGACTCTACCACAACCGAGCGAATGTACAGTTTGGTGTTCAACGCAACCCTTTTCTGGCACGAGGGCCTACAATAATCCACTGTAACCTTACGCGTTGCCCAACTGGAAGAAGTTCTTTTTCTATGGGCGGCCGCAGTAATACCCTAGGGTGAGTCTGGATGTAAAACAAAAGGCCAAAATCTTACGACATTTTGGCAATTTCTTAGAAATCGGCAAAAAAGTGAAAAATTATCCGTCTGGATCCAAAAATTGAAGAATTCAATATTTCGCCAAATTTCGCGTTTTTCACATGTACGTAGTCCACGTCAATATTAGTATCGATTTACTATATTCGCGCACACAGCTGTGCAAAACTTCCGATGTCAAGAGTCCGTCAAAATATCTGTGCGATCGCATTCTGCGTTCACGGTACTATGAATGAACTGTGTTCTCGATCCACGCATGTATGTATTGTCAAGTCGATATAATCAAAGATCGATTAATCAAAACCTAGATCAAGAATCAAGTAGCCAGTCAAATCCACTCTTCGAATGCAACATCTAATTAGTGTGAGACTGGACGATCTTTACATACAAAAGTCAATACAAAGAATCGATCATAGATTTGGCAAATCAGCACAAAAGTCCAAATTTTGGATAAAAGGACAATATCTAGAGCATCATGTTGGACGCAGCAGGAAAGGCAATTCTAGGCCATCCCGAGACGGACAAGCTTGTGTCCAAGGGCGTTTGAGGAAGCAGAGTGAAGGGAATATTGTGATATCCCGCAAAATGTACTATTAATAGTTGGAGTACTATATTGTGCTTTCGAGTGCGTGTTGTGGCGTGGTTTCTCGTTGGAATTTAAATCGATTTGATTAGCTACTTCAGATGAGCTAAAATTTATTAGCCAATCAAAACCTTCTCAATGAAATTCAACCAATCAGATCGATTGTGGATCGGTTTGGCCCCTCCCCAAATTTGTATCAAATCGACAATACAACATAGTATTATTTTAATGCGTTTTTCAGATTTTTTTCGGCCGAATATCACAATAAAATTTTGCGAAGAAAACGGTACCATTACGACACAATTCATATTATCTTGATATTTATCGAAATATTGAGAAATATCATGATATTTGGTGGTGTCCAGACGGGCACTAAGACTAAACAGGAGCACTCCGAATCTTCAACTACTCGATTCATTCCAGCTAACGTTATTATAATGCATACTAGTAAGTAGCTACAGTACGTAGTAGCTCAGCGCAGCAGCTTTACAGCCTGGCGAAACGCACTCCTTTTGCATCACAATACATACAAGTAGCGATAACTGTTATTAACGTTAGCGTTTCGGTTCAAAGACAGTAGTGAGCAGCTGCGAGTAGGTCGTGGCAACGAACGGATTGAGGGCGTGGACTACGTCTTTAGTCGAGTCGAACGACTCGAGTCGCTTCAGCAGCACGATCGTGTTGTACTTGACGCTGATCGAACGGTGAAACAGCCCTTGGGCCACGACGTGGATTCCTCCTACTCGTAGTAGTGTGCCATCATCATCACACATACACCAACCATACCAACATACCCTTGGATCGAGGGATGTAGCTGAGCAACTCCTTCAGCTCGTCCTCGGACGTCAGCAACGAGACAAAGTCGGCGTAAATGCGCTCCAAGTGCGCGTCGTCCGGCACTTCTTCGTGCATCAGAGTGCGCAGATGCCGCTTCAAGTCCACTCCCCCGCTCGCCTTGGGGTCGAAGGCCGGCGTGGTGGGAGGAGCCTCCTTCCGCGCACGGACGAACCGGTCGTAGTTTTCCGTGCGCGCCCATTTCGTGATGCGCTTGTGGTTCACGGCCGTGCGCTTGCCTTGGGCGTCCACGTCCACAAAGCTCGCTTCCCCCGTCGCAATGTCCACGATATTCTATCCAAGACACAAAAGTTTCAAACATATATATAGGTGATATATACTGTGTACTACTAGTACTACGTAGTCGTATTTGTTCATATATGCATAAAGTTGTTTTTAAATAAGTAGTATATAGTTGTCAATACATACGTATATATATATATATTTGTGACTATATATATATAGATTCACCTGACGAGTATAGTCTTCAAACATGCATCGCACCCAAGACTCGCTAAAGCCAGCTTCGATGCCGTCCATGACCTAACGCCAGATAGAAGGGTATACAGGTCACACACTTGTGTAATACTATTATTAATAGTTGTGGTACATGAATAATATGGTGCTACAATAACAGGCATAGGATACGTACTTGCAAGATAAAATCGTGGTCGATGGCATCAGCGTCATCCTTCTCCAACGGGTGCGCGACCAAAATGTCCCCCGTCGCCAAGTCGCAATGCATGTCCCACCACTCCTTTCGCCCCTTGAACATTGGATTCGTCACTCCTGCAATGTACCTAGCACACAGAACTTTGAAATATACATTCAACAGATATTTCACACTATTTATAAACAATCAACGTTCACACTATTTGTAAACAATCAACGAGCTACAGTATTTGGAAATTGGGGATTATACCCTGGGACGGACAAAAATGCCAAGTCAGTCAAGTTTGCATATGGATGTTGACGGTGGATGACGCCCACCAGCGGCGGACATAGCAATGCACTGGTCGACAGCACGTAATTGCACACTTTGCCTACGTGAAATAGTGTGGCATATCGCTTGTGACATGTCGTGAAATAGTGTGACCTCCCCTATATATTTAAAACAAGTCACTTTGTGTGCAGTACCAGCAGGGAGGCCGTAGCCCAAGAGGATCACGCGACTGCCAGTGAGCACGGCATTGTAAATTTGCATCGTTTGGTCTCCAAACTTGGCGATGAGGTCGATGAGCGAGCCTTCTTCGTGCTGATCTTGTGTATTGCCCAGCTTGATCTTCAGCGGAATCGTCAGGTCGTCCCAGAGGGCATGCGTCGTGTACTCCAGAGACCTAACATAACAAGGTAGTGCCGAAGAGAATGGCGCGACTAGGGGGACCTACTCGTCCGAGGTGTGCACGGGACCGCCCAGCGGCTTGGCACACATGGTACGCTTGAGCAGCCGCACTTCGACTTCGGACTTTTGGAGATTTGTGACTCCAGAGACGTCCACGGAGTTGATGACGTCGAAGAGCGAGCTCAACACAGCCGTGGCCGACGACACCGATTCGTTCGACCCCAACGCAAACAACTTGTCGATGGCAACATTCAGAATGTCCTTGAACGCAAAGCAAAACTACACAGGTAGATAGTTGGATCGTTGACGAAGGAAGTTTGTGTTGTGACTGTCGTAGTACGTGGTAGTTGGAGCAAATGGCGACTGCTTTGATTCGCGCCCCACGACGGACGTTCGCATCGTGCATCGTCTTGACCACGCTCAAGCAGTACTTGACTTCCGAGTCCTTGTGGATGAAGAATACTGTGTAGTCTTGTTCCCGGTTGTGGACGCCTTCAGGAAGCATCATATCGGCAAAGAACTCTGGCGTGCGATGCACCGTCTTCTGCAATTCATCCGGCGCGGTCGGGAAGCTTGCGCGTAATGTACTGCCCTTGTCAATGTCTACCGATTAACGTACGTCACCGCCATCTTCTTCACCATGCAAGACATCCTACCAAACTCTGCGTACAGCACTTCCGAGGCAATCATGACGACGATCGAGCTGCAAATGTGGATATGGATCCTATTTAGGATTTTGTCGAAACGGTCCTACTTTAGTTCCTTCACATGGTTATTAGAATGTACTATTGTGCTTTCGAGTGAAATTTCGTGTTGTGGTGTGGTTTCTCGTTGGAATTTAAATCGATTTGATTGGCTACCTCCGATGAGCTCAACATTATTAGCCAATCAAAACCTTCTCAATGAAATTCAACCAATCAGATCGATTGTGGATCGGTTTGGTTGGCGCGATTCGATTGCACCCCGTCCCCAAATTTGTATCAAATCGACAATAGTATTGGGGGCATTGTTTTAATCCATAGATTGTATTTTAATACAATCTATGGATACTGTAAATATTAAAATATTTACAGTTACAGTAATACAACGAATACTATTATTAATAACAATATGCACCAACAATAGTGCGAACCTCTGAATTACTATGCAAAATCACATACAAAAATGAAGGTTAAAGAGTTCGACTTACATGTTAACTGTAAATTGACACACGAGGTTATACTTCAAGTAGAGATTCATGTTTCAAATGGTTTCCAAGGGCACAATAGTGTTCAACCGCACGATAAATGGCGTACCATAGTATGATGGAGACAGTAAACGGCCTTACCAATCATGGGACCATGAGTCGACCTCTCAAAATGCTCATAGGACTTTCTGCAGCACCATGCAAAACACATTGACCAACAATCGAACAAGCCTTCTCCACGTTGTGCAACGGTTGTTCATGTGGGAAATCGATATCCTTAGAACATCTACAGACTTTTTAGACAATATGATGAAGCAGGTGGACGGCCCTACTTTTCAAATCAAAGGAAAGTGGTAGCTACATATATGTATAAATAAATATATTTGAATGATAAGGAAAACTAGAGGTCCATCAAGCCTACTAGCATGTCGGAGACCTCGTCGTATTCGGCACAAAGTTGTTCCACCTGGGCGGGGGACACGGTCGTGGCTTTTGTCGCAAACACTTCGTCGACGGCCATCCGTTGTTTGGCATCCAGCGTGGTCGAGAAATAATGCTCCATCATCAACTGGGCTTGCCGAGGCGTCATGTGGCCCAAAAGCAGCTTCTTGTTGACGCGACCAGGGCGGACGAGGGCGGGGTCGAGTTTCTCGGGGTGGTTGGTGGTCATGATGAGGATGCGCCCGGGACTGTCCACGACCCCGTCCAGCACATTCAGTAGCCCCGACAGGTTGAGTTTGTCCTTGGCTTCGAACTTTGAACTGTTCGAGGGGCTGCTCTTGATCATGTCTGCCAGTGCTTTGGTGAGCGCCGCGTCATCCAGCGCTTGGATGTCGTTGGTTGCTGTGTCTGTAGTTTTGTTGTCGTGACTGGTAGTTCGAGCGTGCACCACGTTGGACGCACAATCGATGTCCTCCATCACAAACACGACCTGTTCGTACCCGAGCTTCACCGGCAAATCTTCGCCTTGGACGGCAAACTTGAGGTCGCACATCATGTCCATCAGTTCCTGGTTGGTCTTGATCTTACTCAGTGAAATGTTGACGATGTGGCGCTTGGTGTGCTGGGCGATGGCTTTGATGAGGCTGGTTTTGCCCGTGCCCGGGGGGCCGTGCAGCAACAGACCCAACTTGTACGGAAACCCGGGAATGCCAAACTTGCCTCGTTTCAGGTCAAAGTTGTTGAGCAACGTCAGCAACGCGTCCTTTTCCTCAAAGAACAAGCTATTGAACGTCTTGTCTTCGCCCAACGCATAGCGCTTGCAAAGGGGGGCGGCGTCGTCGGTGACCTCGGTCGAGGTCGCCATGTACAAGTACCGCGCCTTGTCTTGCTTGTGTTTGGCCAAGACGAGCGCTTGATAGTTTGCATACGC